AGCGTTTGTGGTGAGAGCATGCAGTGCATGCGGATGCAAACGATAGACAACTCCAAAAGACAAAAGAAGGCTTCTGCTTTGACCACAGTACCTCCAGTGATGCATGCAGCCCCAAAGTAACCTCTTCTCTGTCTGAGGTGTACACGAGGCAAAGGAGAGAACTGCTGCTGCTGATTGCAACAAGCTTTACCACAAGGGCTGAGGTGTATAGGCAGCTCATACAACCTTCTGAGATGTATTGACAGCTCAGACAAATACCGTTTCAGGTGTACAGGGAGCTCAGACAACCTTTTGAGATGTACAGGCAGATAAGAGAGCCTTCTCAGGTGTACAGGCAGCTCAGAGGGACTTCTGAGGTGTACACGCAGCTAAGTGGGCATTCTGAGGTGTACATACACCTCGCGCTGTCTCACCTCCGCCTCGAAAAGTTTGCGGTTTTCGTCGTTTTGCAGCGGGTTATTCCAAAAAGAGCCAATATACACCCGGGCGACTTCAGGAGAAGATATTACCTGCATGCATGCAGCCCCTAAACCCTAAACCCTAAACCCTAAAGCCTAAAGCTTTTAGTCGAGAACCAAGCTGAGGTGACACTGACGAGTTCAGTTCCACTCTAGCTGCGCTTCTCAAACCTAAACCCTAAACCCTAAACCCTAAACCCTAAACCCTATCTAGGTACCTTGCCAAGCGACCACATGAGGGCCCCGTAAACCCTCATGAGCTGCTGATAAGAAACCATGTCGGCCTTGTTGAGGACAATGCGAATTTTCGTGTCGTTCCCCCTCAAGGCCTGCGCCCAAACCCTAAACCCTAAACCCTAAACCATGAACCCTAAACCCTAAACCCTAAATTCGCGGTTTTCATTTTGTTTAGCTGCGCGTTGGTGTGCATAAATATATGTGTAAGTGAGACTGCGGTGTACGGATGAAGTGGAGTATAATAAAATAAGGGTTTAAGGTTTAGGGTTTAGGGTTTATTAGGGTTTAGGGTTTAGGGTTTGTACATGGATGCATCTTCTGAATTCATCTGAGATGTCTAACTTGTGTGCATCAAATATTAATAATATTAAATCCACTCTCTCCGCAAACCACTGAACAACCGCCTCGAAGTCGTAGCCTCGAGATGTTTGTTTGTTGCCGCTGAGAACCCCAGGAGTATCTATCAGCGTTAGCCCCTAAAAACAAACCCTAAACCCTAAACCCTAAACCCTAAACCCTAAACCCTAAATGGGAGGGAATCCCGAAGGAGAATTAACAAAGGCATGCAATATAAACAACACCCACATAAACAAAATGCTCTGCATGTGCAGAGACAAACAAAGACAGATAAAAAGGAGACAACTAAATACACAGTCCAAAGGAGACACACAAACAGACAGCGAGGAGACAGAGACAGAGACAGAGACAGACAGAGACAGAGACAGAGACAGACAGAGACAGAGACAGAGACAGACAGAGACAGAGACAGACCAGGCGAGGAGACAGAGAGAGACAGAGACACAGACACAGACAGAGACAAATGGAGACAGACACAGAGACAGAGAGACAGATAGAGAGACAGCGAGAGCGGAGAGACAGAGACAAACAGCAAAAGAAGCAGAGCGAGGGAGCAGAAGAGACAGAAAGGAGACAGAGACAGCCATGTAGACAAAAGGAGACAGACAGCGATACAGAGACAGAGACAGAGACGGCCTAAACCCTAAGCCGATGCAAATATGTAATTAATAATCTCTTCTTACATTTAAAACAACACAGGGCAGCATAGAGCACTCAAACCGCTGAAGAAATATATTTCCGAAGTTAGACAGCTGACTAAAGGGCTTTGTGGGGTCCACCACTGCTGTATTGCCCGGGATCACCTGAGATCCATATACACCCCAAACCCTAAACCCTAAACCCTAAACCCTAAACCCTAAACCCTAAACCGCCACGCTCTCCAACGGCCAGCGCCTTCCAGTCCAGGCTGTTCAACCCGGCTTTAGAGTTTTCAGGTGGAGCCAGAAGGGTTTAGGATTTGCAGTGGCAGAGAAACCTGAGAACTAGGGTTTAGGGTTTAGGGTCTAGGGTTTAGGGTTTAGGGTTTACTTGATCAGTAGGGCCCTCCATAATCGCCACAAATTTATCTGTCGTCGGCTCAGGGCCAATTCGAAGCCCCGGGTAATCCCTCTCCAGCAGATGTTGCACAAAGGTGGTCTGCAACGCAATAAACCCTAAACCCTAAACCCTAAACCCTAGCCCTCAACCCTAAACCCTAAACCCTAACCCAAAGCCCTAAACCCTTTAGAAGTGTCACAGCTCTCCATGACTACACACTTAAGCAGAACCTCTAAATTCGAAATCCTAGACTCCGCAACAGCGCCAGGAACAATCCCTAAACCCTAAACCCTAAACCCTAAACCCTAATCTGCGTAACCTGAATCCCATAGTTTATGCAGTTAATATCCTTTGCATCCTAAACCCTAAACCCTAAACCCTAAACCCTAAACTGTTATTCTCCAGGCTATTCTCATTAACTTGAACCCGCTAAGCCGAAATCGTGAAGCGCTACAAAGCTTCTACCCGGCGTTCGAAGGGTTGAGGGTTTAGGGTTTAGGGTTTAGGGTTTACCTTTCCGGTGGAGTACTGGCCCAAGACCATCACCATCGGCTTGGCTGCGAAGTCTCCATCGGTTAGAAGAGGCGAATAAAACTGCTGAAATTTAAAGTCTGACTCGAGGGGAAGCAAGTGCTTTTTGTACATAGCCTGCAGCCCCGCCTTCACGTCCTGCACCACAAACCCTAAACCCTAAACCCTAAACCCTAAACCCTAAACCCTAAACCCTAAATCGTAAGCCCTAGGCCTTAGGCCTTAGGGAAGAGACTAAGACAGGGTTTAAAGCGCTAGGAGGATCTTGAGGATTTAACTTTATGCAAGTTACGATAACTGCAAGCTGCGCATACACCTCAATTGGGTGTATATACATACACTCGGAGATGCGTCAAGAAAGCAACTAAACTACAGGCAGCATTTATCTTTTCTGAATATGTACAGATATTTATCTTACGTTGTAAACACTAGCAGACTGCTGGGTGCCGCTCTTGCGGCTACCAAAGAGCCACCTATTCATCTTCTTTTATTATTCTAATCGCTGCATGCATCGCTTCAAAGCCCCAAACCCTCTTAGGGCCCCTCTCCCCCGTAAGGGCCCCCGCGTTAGCAGCCTCTGACTGCTGTTCCTGCTGCGGTTATCTAGGGTTTAAGGTTTAGGGTTTAGGGTTTAGGGTTTAGGGTATATTGCAGGGTATGTATGGGGTTCAACTCGAGCGCCTCCTAAAGAACACAAACAAATGCTGTATATATTGATGCAGCAGATGTTGTGAAATGAAAGAAAAGCTTAAAGACATAAAATATATATCAGCATAAACGAGGGGGCAGCTGCAAAGGAGACGATGCCTCCAACGGGGCCCTCCTAGAGCAGCTCAGCCATGCATGCAATATAAACTTCTTACTCAACTCACTCTAGAAAATATACAATAAAAGTCTACATTTATTCAGCAGAAGAAGAAGAAGACAGGGCCCTAAAGTTATGCATGCATGCAGCGCAGCAGCAGCAGCACAGCTGCCGACCTTAGATATATCTTTTCTTGTCTTTTGCTGATGTCTTGATAAAAAGCCTCTTATTTAATTAATTAAAAATTAAAATTTTATTTAATTATTTTAATATTTTTATCTCTCTTCAACAGCAGCAGGGGCCTTAGGGTCTCAAGAGAGGCCCCTTAAGCGGCTAGCGGTGCTGCAGCAGCGAGCATATTACTTTTTCTATGAATTCTCTGTCTTATAGATATTTATATTTAAAACGCTTTGTCTTTTCTAGTTAAAAAATAAAACATTTAATAAACCCTTGTTTCGCAATCGAGCTCAGCTGTCTCCTTTCTTACTTAAGGAGACAGCAGCAGCCTCTACACAGAAGGGCCCTTAGCTAGCGACGAGCCTTGCATGCGCTTCCCCTAAACCCTAAACCCTAAACCCTAAACCCTAAACGGAAGTCAAGCTGACTAAGCATAAGGCGTCCTTAAGTGGTGGGCGTGCTGGAGTGTATGGAGATGATAAACATAGAGAGCGAGCGGCCTGCCTCTACATTGCAGCACTGAACTATGCAAGGGTAGAGCAAGGGTTTAGGGTTTAGGGTTTTATGAATTAGGGTTTAGGGTTTAGAGTAGAGACAAAAACTCTTGTCTAGAAAGCACGATCTTCTTGTAGGGCTTTGCATGCAGCAGCAAACACTTGAAGAACTATAAAACAAGTAAGACAAACAGAAGGGCTCAGCACACGTAGCAGCATCTCCTTAAGCAGCAGCAGTGGAGAGCCCTTTGTCATAAGCGGCTGTCTTCCGCCCACCCCCTTACAGACAGAGTGCAGCTTATTCTGCTGAAGGGGGGCTCAGCTGCTGCTGCAGCCTGTTGAGGCCGCCGTTCACTGCTCCGCATTAACCTCTACACCCAGCTGTCCTCAATGTAAGTTTAAATAGAGTGTTGCTCACCACTATGAGCCTTTACCCTTACGAGGTGTTTCTATTGAAATAGAGAAAAAGTTTTTATACATAGTAGTGCCTTTGAATCTGCTCTATTAGGTACACTAACACAAAATTAAGCTCTTGCTGGAGAGACTAATGTGAGGCAAAGCCTGCAGTATCTCCCTCAAGGGC